AGTCGGCCACGAACGCACGTCCTCCTTTTTCCCCTCGTCCCCTCCACGGTCTCATCGCTCTGTCAGCCGGACTCCAAGCCAGAGCTCCACGTCCTCGTCCACAAAATCTGCCATTCAGGGGTTTGTGAACGGCCGCCTCGCAGACTTTCTCAAGGAAAGGGCCCCCAGTCCCACTATAGGAGGATCGGACCAAACGACCTCGCTGCCCTCCCCGTACAGTCAGCTGACATCTCCCCGCATGCCCGATCGCCTGAGTGGGCACGCGAGTGACACCACCAGTGTGTTGAGCGGCGATCTACCGCCAGCTATGGGGAAGACGTCGCTGCATTTCTCTAACAGAAACAGTTTGGTGAGCAGCGGCTATGACAGCATGGTGAGGGACAGCGAGGCCACGGGCAGCAGCACCTCAGCCAGAGACTCCGTCAGCGACAGGAGCAGCTCGCTCCTCGGCGCCGCTCGCAGCGGCCGCTCGTCTCGGAGACGAGGTGGTATGGGTAAGAGCGCCTGCAGTTTTTATGTAATGAATTAAACGACTTTCACTTTTGGAAAGTTTAATAAAGCAAAGAAAACAAACCAACAGAAGCTCAAAGCCGACGTTCTCACGCAAACGTTAGCGCCGCTGCTTCACCACCGACGCCGGCTTCATGGTGACATGTCTGGTTCATAATCTGACTACATAACATATTAATGTGACATTAATGAAAGACGACATGTGTGGTGAACGCAGACAGACCCAGTTTCCTCGCTCGCATTAAAAGCCAGATTGTGTAGGAAGTCACATCATTAATACATGAAGGCAGGAAGGATTCTCACTGATGTGTGATTGTGTTACACAGATGGGTGTGTGCGTGATTACACTAACAGAGTTATGTTGGAAACGCTCACTGTTGTGATGCTAATGGAACAGCAGAGGAGACACGACTTGAAATAACACACTGTTAACTGCTTTTTGTGCGTGCACTCAGTTTGTCCTCTTCTGTAACTAAAATCTACAGTTTGAATATAAAGCACTCACTATCTTTTCCTGCACTGGCAAACTGACTCAGTTCAGAGAG